TTCCACTGGCGCCAGGGAGTGGCGGGCAGGCGCGGCAACGCCATGGTCAAGCCCCCCCCCACCCAGCACCGGCTGCAGCCCCCCTACCCTTACCCGTACCGCTTCCTCCTCAATGAGCCCCACAAGTGCCAGGACCAGACACCCTTCCTGGTGCTGCTGGTGGTGACGGAGCCGGGGGACACGGCCGGCAGGAGCGCCATCCGGCAAACCTGGGGCAACGAAAGCTCGGTGCCGGGGGTCTCCATCCTCCGTCTCTTCCTCCTCGGCGTTCACCCGGTGTTCCGGCAGGAGCTGCGGCCGGTGCTGGAGGAGGAGAGCCTTCTCCACCACGACATCCTCCAGCAAGACTTCTTGGACACCTACAACAACCTGACGTTGAAGACGCTGATGGGCATGGAGTGGGTGAGCAAGCACTGCCCCAACGCCAGCTACGTGGTGAAGGCCGACCGCGACGTCTTCCTCAACCTGGGTTACCTGGTACGGCAATTCCTCATTCCCCCCAAGAAGAACTTCATGACCGGTTACATCTACCGCAACACGGGGCCGCTGCGCAACAAGGGCTACAAGTGGTACGTGCCCCACGAGGTCTACCCCAACAACACCTACCCGCCCTACTGCGGCGGACCCGGCTACGTCCTCTCCGGGGATTTGGCAAGCAAAATCTACGGTGTCGCCCAAACTTTGTCTGTCATCAACATGGAGGATGTCTTCATGGGCATCTGCCTGCACGCGCTGGGCATCAGTGTCACCGACAGCCCTTGGGGCGTCTTCAACATGTACTGGATCAAGTACGAGAAGTGCCGGTTCTCCCGGTTGGTGATGGTCCATCACTACGAGCCCCAGCAGCTGCTGAAGCTCTGGCCTGGCTTCCAGGAGCCGAAGACAACGTGCCACCGCTAGCCGCGGCTGGAGGGCCGAGCTGTGCCGGGGCTGCCGGGCACTGGAGCCATCCCACAGTCCCAGTGGCGGGTACCGCTGCCCCCACTGCTGCGCCGAGACTCGCCAGCTTCATCCCCTCCGGTGACTTTCCGGCCAGTCTCCGGCTCTCAAGCAGCCGCTTGGGGCCGTCTCCAAACCTCGGGTCTCTCGGGGACCCCCCACCCCTACCGGGGACGGTTTCCACCCCCCCATTTTGAGTCACCAGCTGGTTTGCACTGCTGGAGCTGAGAGCTTTGCTCGCTGGACCAGCCACTTCACTTCATTAGATCTTTTTAATGTTATTAGTAGTATTATTGATTTTTTTGTTGTTGTTCTGAGCCAGCTGGTCGTGGTGGTCCAGGACCCCACCGGCAGTAAAGCTGTGCCTGCATTAAGTTATAGCTGATATTTATAATAAAAGGCTGAAGCCAGCCGGAGCAACTCGCCAATTGTCTTGTTTCTCCTGGTGCCAACACCGCACCTGGGCTGCCCACTGGCACGAACCCCCCACCATCCCCTCTCGTCCCGGTGTGCCGGGGAGGGAAGCGTCACCATCCCAAAACACCGGCTCAAGCCCGGCTTTGCTTGGGCTGTTGACTCATCGCGGCCTCACCAGCGGTGGCAGAACAAGCGCCGGTTGGGGTGTTACCGCACGGAGTTTGGGTCCAGCTCTGCCACCAGCCCCCAGAGAACGAGAAACACCGGTGCAAGGTGCAAAGTTTATTCAACTAACTGCGCCGCGCCCGGAGGAGGCGCATTTACACACATGCAAAACGCACATGGCCAAACGGCACCAGGGCAATAACTGATAAGGCTCCAGCTGTTTCCAGCACTGCTTAAAGGAGCTAAAGCGGCAGCTCCGGTATTATTTTTGTTGGAAAAGGGGCAGTTTTGTAGCTCAAACCCCTGCTGCCCCACAGCTTTGGTTTAAGAGATGCGATCTGGCAGCTGGCTGCACCAGAGAGGTGCCGGAATATTTGGGAGCAGGAGCTGCTCCGCACCCTCAGTTCCCTTGGGACAACACCTGCGTGTTCCCAGCCTTGCAAACGCCACTCCACCTTTCCCAGAAAGGTGAGTAAACTGAAGCCACTATCCCTGTTTAATTTTCTTATGGTTTTGAGGAGTGCTGTAGTTACAGGCAGGATCTGGCCGGGCTGGGAAATTGCCCAAGAGCCATGAGGATTATCTACGCCAGGAAGTCCCCACTGGCCCTTGCTGTGAACCGTCACACCATGAACCTTCTCACTGCGTTCAAGGGTGTCTCCTCAAACGCCCCACCCTGTGTCAAGAATTCGGCACCTCTTCCCGACACCCACTGTGGCACAGGAATGGAGGCGGCCCCCTCACGCAGTGGGTCCGGGGAGCCACTGCCACCGTTGTCTCCGGCGCAGTGGTTTAATCACCGGCAAAGGCAATAATTTGGTCTTACCCAAGGCTCGAGCCAGCCCTGCTTGCTCCTCCGGTGGGCTCAGGCTGCCGTGCTCTCGGAAGTCCATAATCTCCTCCTGGCCAAAGCCCCTGGGGCAGTTTAGTCTCAAAACCGAGAGTTTAAGGTCATTCAAATTGCAGAAAGTAGAGAATATTCTGAATTATTTTTTTTTTTAAGAGAGGCAGGAGGCTGCCGCAGTGGCGCACACCGTGAAACGACACGCTAGGAGACCAAGACATCAAGAGTTTTGTGTTTATTTGTCTACATTCAGCTTACTCCAGATGTACTGCCTGAGGGATTCAGGCATACAAAACCCACTCTTTCCCACTGGTTTTTAAAATAAAATCTTCACTTATAAAACTGAAACACTAAAGCATTAAAATACAGAAAGCTTGTTTAACTCACTTCACAAAAGCATTAACAGATGACATATCCCTTATCTATTTAAAGCCATACTGTGTTCACACTTCCACATCAATTTTTAAATAGAAAAAGGATACTGAAATTGTATTAACTCAAAAAAAAAAAAAACCCAAAACCCCCCAAAATTCCTATTTAGACAAAGTTGTAATGGCAACTAACAAACCATTAAATACAGAGATGCCCAAAATACAGCTAAGTATGGAATTACAGGTACTCAACCATTAGTGACCGGTATCACAAAGAGCACTGCAACATGGAAACGGGGGCGGGGGGCAAGGGAGGGGTTTACATGTTTACCGTGATGCGATAAAACTGAATATTCAAAGGGTGGGTGAGCGCGGGAGGGAACAAAGCTCCACGCCCATGGAGGAAGGGGCAGCTTTATCTGTACTGGTAATTCATGCTGTGGTCGTTTCTGCCGTAGCCGCCTTGGGACGCTTGGTAGGAGCTAGGGGGGCCGCTGTAATTTTGGCCTGAACCGGGGGAGTTGTAGTTGGACTGAGAGGAATATCCACCTGCGGAGGGGGAGGGGGGGGTGGAGAAGGGGAGAGAGAAGCGCTCGGTTACCATCGCGGCGTGAAACAACAACAAAAAGCTGTTTCAACACGGAATCGGAGCTTTTCCTCCCATCCGGGAGCCGCTGCCAGGCAAAAGCACACGTGGATGGGAAGACGCTGCCCTCGCATGGAAAAATATATAGGGAAGTGTCGTATACTGACCTTGCTTACCTTGGTACGAGGACCCTCCGCCCCCAGATCCTCCCCCATAGCCACCGTGTGAGCCGGTGTTGTAGGAGGCACCTCCCGAATAGTTATTTCCTCCGCCTCCGCGGCCGCTGTTGCCACCGTAACCTGGAAAGGAAAACGCGGTGAGCACGGCCGGCCTCCCCGGCAGCAGCAGCTCTGCCTTCATCGCACCCAGAGAGAGGGTTTTGTCTGCTGTTAGCAGCAAAAGGGATGATTATTGGAGGCGAGGCGACTACCAGGGGTTCGATGAGCGAACCCATCTCCTTGGGCTGCTAAAGGCTTCACGGAGAGGTCTGGCTGCGAGGGGCAGCTGTGGGATTTCCCCACAGCTTGCACGAGCACAGGCGATCCACACTGAGGAACGTGCGGATCCCAAGCACTCAACTGCCCGACACAGAAAGTAAAGACTCGATCATCAAACAGTAACTCAAGAGCAGAGCAGGCAATTCCACCTTCATCCTCTGAAAGGCAAGAGCATCTCCTCAGGGAGGAGCAGACCAGACCGCAGCAGGTTTCCTGGTTGGTTGTCAATGTCAACTAATTAAATCAACTCAACCAGAGCGCTTTAAGCCCTCCAAGTGCACAGAAGTATGAAATGGCTTGGGTGGGAAGGGACGCTTGGAGCTCAGCCCGTCCAACCCCCCCTGCCACAAGCGGGGCCGTCTTCACTGAGACCAGGGTGCTCAGAGCCCCGGCCAGCCCTGCCCCGAAGGGTCCCAGGGACGGACGGGGCATCGACCCCCTCCCTGGGCAGCCTCTGCCAGGGCCTCACCCCCCTCGGCGGGAAGAATTTCCTCCCTAGAGCTGGGCCGAATCGCCCCTCTTTTAGCCGAAAACCCTTCCCCCTTGTCCCAGTGCTACCAGCCCGCCTCAAAGTTACTCCTTCGTGTAGGACCACACGCCTACGGAGCGCATATTTCCTTATTATCAACAGTTTGCATTTTACTCCCCAGATAAGCTAAGCCAGCACTCACTAAATTTGCTCTCGTAGTTGTAATCGGAGCCTCCGCCACCAGGCGAGTTGTAGGAATTGGAGTAGGAGGAATAGTTGCCTTGGCCATGGTTGTAGCCTTTCTGTTTGCCCTGTGGCGGGCCATAGTTACTGTACTGGTTTTGGTTGTAGGACTGCTGCTGCTGGCCCTGGTGGGACTGATACCCCGAACCGTAGGACGGTTTTTGCTGTCCTCCGTGCTGCTGTTTCTTTCCGCCGTGTTTTGGAGGAACCGGCGAATTGTAGTTATCGCCACCTTGGTAGTAGGAGCCATAGCCAGAGGAGCCGCCGCCGCCGCCTCCGCCGCCGCTCCCTGAGTTGGAGTGGCCGCCGTTGCTGTAGAACTGGCCTAAACAGAGAGAAAAGGGTCAGCCCCAACAGTGGCCGCATTTTGGAGCGGGGAGGCAGGCACCACAAGGCACAATTTAACAGGTTAAGGCTCATAACGCAGTGAGATTTTTACCCTTGTGAAGGCAAGGGTTTAGGAGCAGTTTAGCTCTTACGCTGGTGAAAGGTTTAAGAAACTCCACACGAGGCCGAGAGGTGAAACATCTTGTTCATTTAAGTAGACAGGGAATTGTGAAATACATCGACATCGTACCATTGTCCAGTCACCCTGCAATCTCAGTGAACGACGCCCAGCCAGTTCTCCCACAGCTTTAATTTCAGTACGACCCCAATGTTTAGGACTAAGCTCAGGGCTACGACAGTTTCTTTAATGCATGTTACAATAACTAACAGTTATTACTTCAATGCTCTACAAAGATTTAAAATCTGGTGCTCAAACTACATTTGAGACAAGTCAGCCATCGACGGCAGCTGATGCTCGGTCTCCGCAGCAGAGAGACATGGTAACGAGGAAGAATCTCGTTCCTGTAATGAGGAATTATGTCAACATCCATGCAGATCGCTCTAACACAGCGAGCCATCCGTCTAGATTTACACGGTGAGTGAGCAGCAAGAATCCAACGGAAATTAAGACGTGCGTGCACAGCTCATCCTATTTACCTCAAAGTTCAGGTACTACCTCCAGGATCCAAGGTTACCGAAAACCTCTAACGGATCAAAACACTCCAGAGAGCCTGGATGCGAGAGCACGGTACATAGTCAAGAGTTAGTCTGGGTTTAATTTTATTTACCAAGAGTACTACAGTCAAGCTCTTTGAGCGATTCTTTTCCTGCCCAATTTCTGCGAGTTGAACTTTGGGGTGTTCTTTGCGTGGGGCTTAGTGTGAGAAGACTTACTCTACAGTCAGACTTGTCGTGTTATTCGAAACTAAACTTATTTTCAAGGAATAAAAGCCACTAGAATCTAACTAAAAACCTGCACCAGTGTCTGTAATGGCGTGTACACTCGAGGAATGGAGCTACACCTCTAAAAGAAGGAAAGATT